GAGAGGAACAGATGTCCTTAGCAGCTGAAAGGAGCTTCCTCCCTCCTCATCTACCCATCTTATATTTCCAAGTCATGAGTCCTAAAAACTCTTCAGAGTCAATAAGCGAGGGTTTATTGTTTCCATGACACCAGTCCCTTCCCACAGCCACTCAATACTCAGGATAATTACTTTACATGACACCTGCCCACTGGAAGTGACAGATTTACACTAGGATTGTACCCAGGGTCTCTATATTTTCAGCCCAGCTAACACTGTGATGGGTCCCCTTGGATCCACATTACACCACACCAGTCATGGGACACTGACCCAGCTCTACAGCTTCCCATGCTTCTGGTCCATCCCATTCACAAATGGCTTTTGTATGCTCTGTGGGCCAGAGCAGGGACCCTCTGCTTGGTACTGTGGCTGTTCTCCCAAAGGCTGCACAACCACTGCCACCTCGAGACATCAGACACCAGTTAGAGGGATGCCTACCTTGCCAAAAGATATTATAATTGCTGCTGTTGCAGAATGCAAAGGTGACACTTTTGATAGAAGCACAACAAGTTGTGAGAGATAGTCAAAGGGAGGAAAAATTATTATAAATATGATATGCAACATTTCAAAGACTTTTAAAGGTTTTGGCTTAATGTGTGGCCAACTTTCTTGTTGATGTGCCCAACGTTTGGATGTAGAATGGGAGTCAATTACAAAAAGACAGAGAAATTACAGACTCAAACATATTTGCTGTAAATGGCAAGTTCTCTTTGTTCAGCATTAGAATTTAAATGCAGTAAGGTGAAATAGCATAAAGCAGATCTTACCTGAAGAGGCTGAAGAATCATAAGTACTTCTGTCCTTCCTATTTGTCCTGAAGGGCTGAATGTCCTTTTCCCTGTAAGTTCCAAACCCTTCAAAGCTTCTTCTTTTATTCCCACTTGCATCATTATCCCGCTTCTCACTCAAGGAATTCATTTCACCAAATATGTCCAGAGACTCTGATCTTCCATTACTCTCAGTATTACCAGAGTATCTCTTTGTGCAAGAGTCAATGGGATCATTGCTCGAGTCACTTTTATCTTTACTCTGTGTCCACTGCTGGGCATCAGAAAGTGATAACGTAGACAGCGTATCCACTTCAAAGTTACTCTTTGAGCCTTTGTGTCCGGTTTCACAATGCTGGTGCTTCTGTTTGTCCTTATGCTTGCTTTTCTCGTTGAGCAAGGAGAGGTCTTTATCTGAGCCGCTTAGTCTTTCATTGATCGTGTGGCTGGAGAAGCCAGTGGACTTGCTGGTAAAGAGACCACTCAGATCATCATGTGTCCCCAATATCCGCTCATCCTTATGCTTGTGCTTATGTTTGTGTTTCCTTTTGTGAAGTCGGCCACTTGAAAGGCTTGCTCCTCCAACCTTTGGAGGAGTCAAAGAGGACTGCATGTCACCAAGGCCCATTCCCACCGGTGTTTGTAGGTGCACTCCATGTTTCGCTTTATGCTTGGCAGTGGTGGACATCTTCATATGAGAGCTTGCATGAAATTGGGGTGGGGGCACGGTAGGTCTCATAAATGGGGAAGCCGCTCCGAGCGTGTGAGACAGGTACAAAGGAGCTGGATACTGACCATAGTAACCAAGATTCATCATAGGCATTGATGTGTAAGGCATTCCATAGGGTGCATAGTAACTCCCACTGGGAATAGGGTAACCGAACCCTTGTAAAAAAGGCACCTTTGTCATGGTGTCATTGGTTTTGGCAGGTCTACCACGCTTCTTCTTAGACTTCATGTCAGAGGTCCTGCGAAGATAGAGCAATGGGTCATACTGGATATATGGCACAGGGTAATAGTGATCAAAATTAATCCTGAAGATGCTGGGATATGGATTTTCATGATAAAACGTATAACTTCTATGGGAAATCCTGAACACTTGAAACTTATTGATGAGTTCCTCAAGGTCTGCCAGAAACTGGAGGTCATCTCTGTTCTGCAGGCTTTTCCTTTTCCTCTTGTGCTTTGGCTTTTTTATACTGTCATGAGAGAGAAAGTTATCCACAATGAGATGTTTCTGCCGGTGACCATGCCTGTTCTTTGTGCTGGTGTCAGATGGGATAGCCTCTGGATTGTCCAGGGAGCAGAAATCAAAGGAGTATCTCCGGCGGGATTCTGAGCTTTTCTCGGCTTGGTCAGAAGTGCTGTTGTTGTCTGTACCTATCCCACTGTCGCTCGGTATAGTTTCCTCACTGTGAGACTCACTCACTGGCGACAGCGTGACTTCTTTCAGAGAACCTATTTCACAGAGGTGGGAAGGTGAATTAGCCATTAACCTGGGTGGTGACAGCTTCCAAGTTCCACTGTGCATTCCTTTCTGGGTTTTTGTAGGAAGAGCACTGATAGGTTGAAGATTTGGCATAGTTTTTAATTCTGAAAAATTTGTTTCAGTGCTTGCAGGGCTAAGGTTGCCATTAGTCCCCACTAACTGTGTTGAAAGTGGATGAATAGCTGCTGGTGACGATGCCACAAGTGACTGTAGGTTGGAAGGCACTGCTGGGTTTTCTGGCTGGCTGGAAACAGGCCTTGAGTGCTTGATGGCTGTCTTAGGTTCTTCTGGCTGAGGCTGCAGCTCTGCTCTTGGCTTTCTGCCCCTTTTTTTACCAATGTAGATAGTCCCCCTCTTGCTGACATTGATCTGCTTCCCTAGTCTGGCATCAATGGTGGTTGGCCCAGCACTGGATGGTGGCTGGACTTTTGCCTTCAGAGCTATACTGCTGGAGCAGGAGGACAAGATCTGATTGAGAATATTCTTCCTCTTGAGGGTCTTCATTTTATTAATGGTCTTGATGGTCTTCTTATCCAAGACACCAAGCTTCCCAACCTTTTTGTGAAACTTGAGTTCACTGATGGACTTGTCCTCTCCTGGGACCATCTGGGCCAACTTGGCCAGATTCCGTCTCCTCTTCCTTTTCTTCGTTCCTGGAAATTCACGACTGATTGGACTCACCGGGCTGGTGGAAGTTCCCTCATGGATGGTTTCAACAGTGAGTAAAGGCTGTTTCTTTGGTCGTCCTCTTTTCTTCTTGACGGGTGTGATCACAGTAAGACTGTCTGTATTGGTATACAGAGGGCTGGATGGTGTGATGGGATAGGCTGAAGGAGGCTCCACCATCAGCTTCTCAGATGTCATGGAGGTCTCCCGAAGGATAGATTTAGGTTTGCTGCAAGTCCATCGCCTCTTAGCTGCGAGTTTGGGGTGCTGGACCTCTGATAATTTGCCAGCTGTGGGAAGGTCAGTGGGTAGGAGAGTGGGTACCACAGCTACAGGCTTTCTGAGTCTGGTGGCACTGTTGGGGGAAGCTTTGTCAGTGAGCACACTGCTGTCGACAGCTACTAATGGGGACTCATTTTCAATCATTTTCCCTGGTTTTGTGGCTCGAAGATCTTTTTTACTCCCCTCTGATTGAGAGTTAGTCCTGTTTGCTACTTCACTGCTCACAGTAAGTCCAGAAGGCAGGCTTTTCTCTTGGATAGTTTTCTCTATGGAAGATTTTGTGGACTGCCTTTTTTTCCTTTTGTGGCCAGATGTATCTGTTGTCGGAGACTTTATTGGGATAGTAATTCGTACATGACTGGTGTCACTTTCACAACTGCTAGCGCAAGTAGAATTCTGCTTTGAGGGTGATGTATCCAACACACTGTCCATCAAGTAAGACTCTTTTTTCCCTTCCATGCTGTCATGGGATTTGCTGTCAAAGGCTTTCTGAGCACTCTTCACCCATTCAATGTCTGCAGTTTGGATGGTTTGACTTATCAAGTCCTTTTTGCTGGATTTCTTCTTTGTACTCCCAGCGGGCTGATCGGGGGCCTCCAGCTGCACACCTCCCTCTTGATCACCAAGGGGCAAAAGCCCATTGCACTCAGAGGCGCTGCTCGGCTGGGTAGCCACGCTGATGTTATTAGGTGATGGGACTGCACTGCAAATGGCAAGCTCTTTACTACTGGCTGACAGCTGTCCCCACGTGCTGCTGGCACAGGACTTCTTTGCTTGGGATTTTATGAAGGAAACTCCTGGCTCTGAACCGGAGACCTTGGTGGCACTAACCGTTTCTCGACTGGGTTCTGTGTTGATGAAACAACTTTGGGAAGAGGATCCAGTATCGGAGCTCACTGACCAGTCAAGGTGGTGCTGGTTGCTACTTTTCTGCTGGTGCTTTGATTTTAAGGTGTCACTGGTGAAGTCTTGTTGGAGGCCCGGATCATAATGCAGAGCAGAATGTTTTTGTGGCCTGTCATAAACCTGGAAGGTAAAAGAAAAATAGCAAAACAAAAATTAGTTTACCAGTCTGTTCCTAACCCCTGGGTGTAGCTCTTTATTTGTACAGGGAATGACAACTCTTCTTAACCAATGCTCTTATAATGCTTAGGAGCCTTTATAAGGTTTTCTTATACTTGAGCCAAATTTGCATTTAGATTCATGCACTGTAAACAAGTTTTGTTTTGTTTTCCCACTATGAAAACAATGGAAATATTTCTATAAATGTTAAATTGCCAAGGAACTATATTCTATTGATTTTTAATTCAAAACACAAGTAAAATATTCCCTTTCAATGGATAAATGGTGCAACTCAGCCTCCTGGTGAGAATCCCTTTTTCCTAAAATATAATCCCTTACAGAACTTGATGCTCAATAACAGCAATTAAGCTCATTGTTATAAACAAGAAAAATGCAAAATTATCTTGGAAGTTGTAACAAACAGGAGGAAAACTCATGGGTCCACTTCCCTCTGAAGCCAGAATCTGCAAAGATTTACTTGCTTAAAATTTCACATGGAAGTCGTCTCTACAAACTTACTGCTTAAAATCATATGCATAGCGTCAAGTGTGTGAGGCACACTTGGCAGGTTCAAGATTCGCATTACTCCCTTTCCATTTTAATAATCTGCTATTTGCAATGTTGGTAAGAGATATTTTCAATATGATTTCTAATCTGACAGCAGCTCTTCAAGCCGCAGAGGTTACACAAAGGGCAGCATTATGCTGAAGACTGTTACAGAGAAAAAGAAAGTCTACTTTATTTCTGTGATGGGCCTCCTTCAGCTAAGAAATTATGTTTGCTATAACTATAACCTTTTGAAAAGTCTCTTAAGGCAAAACGAAATACATTTCTTTTTACTTTCACTAACTGACATCTTCTAGCCATTTGTTTTCCCCTGTTACATTTAGGACCTTTCTTTGTAAAGCTCTGGATCAAACTGTGCAACTGATTTTGTACACCTAGTACTGCAAACAACTGCTCTTTGCAAACTAATGACAATGTTCTGAATGCCAAATACATGATGAGAGACTTAAAATAAATGTGTAGCCAAGGAAAGAACAATAGAAAACAACTGGTAATTGTCTCGTGTTCTGCAAACACCTTGTTACAATTAAGTTTCTATCAGCAAAGTTACATTAGATCCCCATTCGAGGTGTTTGTAACAGACATTCTGGGGGCAAGGAGGCTATCTGTGTGAAAGAGTTTTGAGCTGGGAAATCAGGTGTCCCGAGATCTAAGCAACTTCAAAGGGACTTGAAAAATGCAAAACACCCCCAAGCCCATGGTGCATTATTTAGTGACCAGTAAACATGTATGTTAATGGCAAATTGATGTTGAGATATCCTTCATGTGCATATAAAAATCGGCATGTGGCTTTTCTGGAATAGGCAGTAACGATGAAGCTGTTCTGGTCCATCATCTGAAGAGTAATCAGGGACTTTTAAATCCTGTGGATAATTCAGCTGTTGTGCACATGGACCAGCCACGCTCAGGGAAAGCAGAGATTTCCAGGAATTATGGAGTGAGAAAATGAAAGCACGCAGCTGTGGTGGAGTTGCAGATGTCACGGACGAGCGACACCCGGATTCTTCAGCCTGAGAAAAGAGCTGAAAGCATAAACAGCCCTCGGGGAATGAATCAGTTCCTCCTTTTCCTCCTCCTCCTCCATCTCCTCCTCCTTCTCCTCCTTACAGTGGCCTCCCATGCATGCAAGGGCCACAACCCATGCCACTGATGCCCTCCTTCAGAAAATGGAGAGCATCCCAAAGCATGTCCAGGTCCTTGGGATGAGGCCAGGGAAGGCTGTAAAGGAAATCAACAACACTGGTGCTAAAGTTTCATAGCTTGTTTTTTTTTGTTGTTGTTGTTTTTGGTTTTTTTTTGTTTGTTTGTTTTAAAGTGATGACAAACCTCCTGAGCTTCATATTACCTCAGCTGTCTGGGTCTTCTCCTGACACCCAGGCCAGCAGCAATCCTGGTGTATTGTCAGCTAGGCATGAGGAGTTGGCCAAACTCTGGTGAGGTCCCAGCAGGACTGGAGGCGGGTGCCCTCCATGAAAGCCTCACATGAAACATCAACTTCCTGAGTTATCATGATTTGTCACTTGGAAAAGCCCTAGAAACGATGGTCTGAGGCCTCTCTTGGCCCCTAGAACCCACACCAAGACAGGGTCAGGATCCTTCTACACAGATCCTGGCCTTATGACTGCAATCACAGCAACTCCTTACACCCACTTTATTTCCAAAATGCTGAGCTGTGAAACTAAATGACCTGAAAAATTTCATTTTTAAGAAAAAAATAAAGAGTGTTACAGCAGCGAGTGAAATCATCACATGCTGGCAACACCCTGGTCCCTCCATGTCCACTGCATACATGATCCCAAGTTTAAAGAGAGAAATAATCTCTGATACATATTTTAAGGCAGTTAATAAGGGCTCAGTTCTGAGAGGCCAGCTCTATATCAGCGATGAATGCTGATATATTGCTTGGCTCCTCCAGCCTCATTTCCTTGGCCTGCACAATATAAAATGATGATGCAACTTCCAACATATCCCTAATGATAGCCTTGTCATTACTCCAGCACCATGGGCCACCACAACATCTATCTTATAATTCATGAGAAAGATATGCCTATGTCATCAAAGGTGCCAACTCTGGAGGCATTTAATCACATGGATAAACACTCTGATTTCAACAGGCCTTCAAAAAACAACCAGTCTGCAGGATCAGGGGACTCCATTTTCTAAGTGGGATGTCAAAACTATATATCTGCCAAAGCACATAACAGTCCACTGGCTTTCCTCATGCAATTTATTCCAGCATAACATTTACTATTTGCTCTCCCTTGCCAGACCTGTCCATATCACTCCAAAATAATTCTTCAGCAGCACGGAAACCAGAGATCAACCTGCAACAGGTTGGTTTTCACTGCCTGCAATGGATACAAGGGGACTCTTGGCTTCAAAACATTTGTAAATCAGTTACAAGTGATGCAGCTGAGTGTATTCTATTCTGCATGTATCCATCTTGGTTGCTGCCTGATCCCATCAGTCCTAATGTTTAGGCTTCTGTTTGTCCTGATGGGTGACCACCACCCTAAGAAGCCAACAAACCCCAGCTCAACTAACCTAACCCTCCACTGAGTAGAAGATGCCGGAGCTGTCAGTAGGGTGAGGACAAACAGGGCTCTTCAGAAACCTGTATCTCGATGCCTTTCATAGAAATACACTATTTTATTTGTCCGTAAGCATGCAATATTCTGCAGCTCCATAGGTCTTGGCAAGGGACTGTTGAATATGGCAACATGGCCAAGACCAGCATCAAGAATAGTGGGTTTTTTTCATGAAAATGGAAAAATTTATCTTTATTTAATTTTTGGTTTATGATAACCTAAAAATACTTCAAACTTCAGTGACTTTTGTAGTTTACCCTTTCATTAAAAGGAATTTTCTTAGCAGTTAACTATTCTGCACTGGGAGTCTGGCCCTTCTTTTGTGAAAGTAAAAGCACAGCTTAGCTCATGCAATTTTATCATATCTAAACAAAATAGGTCAATATTTTTCTTTACAGTAAATTTACTAGATGTGCTTAGTGGGTAATAATCCCATCTTACTTCTAACGAAAACTAAATACACATAAAGAAGCTAATAGTTTTCATAACTGTAAAGAAGTTTGAGCCCCATGACCCAGCACATGCTAAACCTTAGACTGAAGAAATACAGTTTGAATCCTTTTACTAGTTAGTGTATGATTTTGATGCCAAACTCATGAGTTTCAGGCCTCAGCTCTGGCAACAGTGGATAGACCTAAGGAGAAGGATACATTCCATGTGCTAACAGCTGAAGAGCACTGGCCTGGGAGCAGAGGAGATGGAACTGTGTGTTTACACCTGCCTTGCCAGACCTGTGCCACTCTGCACCTGCAGATGTGCTTTCTTCAATTTATTGTTTTATTCTGGGATGTGGACCTTGCATCTGAGAGGATGAGACTGTATCAGACTCGTGATGAGCGGCACCCTACTTTGCAAGCAGTAGCCAGCAGCAGAATCTATCTCTCAGGGACTCTTTTCATTTAACTACTGGATGTCTCACACTGCCTCGCATTCCCTCACCTGAGCTTCTCTCTAAATCCATACACTGCTTCCAGCCCCAAAGCAAAAAGTGGGAGATGATGACAGCAACCAAATCAAGAGCTTTTTAAAATAATACTAATAGTAATGATACTAATACTAATGATAATAATGATACAAATAAGAATTAATATAACTGAAAATAATAATAATGATAAAATACACAATTAGAGAAACCCATCACCTGAAAAAAATCTGGTTGCTTAGAGGAGATGGTACCCCTCTGCTCCAAACGCACCTTTTTGCAGAGGTAACATACATACAGCTTGTCAAGAATCTGGCTTGCAAATCAAAGTTAATACTACAACGCCCCCTCTTTAAATCATTCGCAGATCCATCTGTGTAATGGCTCCTCAAGTGTAATTCCCTATTAAGAGGCTTTATCTGGAGAGATAAGCAGCTGGTTCCCATGTCACTAATTGCTGTCTGCTGTGATTTTAAAACATCTGCACCATTGTGCTCTTCATTTTCATATTCTAATCACCCTGAAACTTGAAAAAGGTACATCATTGATTGTTTCTGTGGGTTAATTAGTACACAGTCTCCTTGTAGAGACAATTTAAAGGCAGTCAGAACCTCAATCAGCAAGTTTGTTTTAAAAATTAATAACATCGGGAGCGTCTGTGGGGATTGGCATCCACAGTGACACATCAGAGTGTGCTCTGGGGACATACCATCCTTTGTTATCTCCTTCATAGGCTGGAAATAAAATTAAAAAAAAAAAAGGAAAAAGAAAATATAGGAAAATAAAAGAGGAAAGGCTTTTCTAAACGAATAATGTCACTTAGAATCAGACTCTTGGGAAATGCTTTCTTTCATCTCAGGGCCACCCCTGCCCCTCCAGTGAGAAAG